ATTAAAGAAAAAATAAATGAAATTTGTTTTAAGTTCAAGTTTTGAAGAATAGCTTAAATATCATTTATTTAAGTGCATAAGAATGTAATATTAAAGGAAGTTTGTTTTCCACCCTTTGATATATAGATTGTACATCAATTGTTTTGGTGCAAATGAATAGAAGAAAAAATAAATAAAATTTGATTTAGGATCAAGTTTTGAAGAATAGATTAAATATCATTAATTTAAGTGCATAAGAAGTCATATTAAAGGAAATTTGTTTGAGGTCCAACCTTTGAAATATGGATTGTACATCAATTGTTTTGGTGCAAATTAATAGACGAAAAAATAAATGAAATTTGTGTTAAATTCAAGTTTCGAAGAATAGATTAAATATCATTTATTTAAGTGCATAAGAATGTAATATTAAAGGAAGTTTGTTTTCCACCCTTTGATATATAGATTGTACATCAATTGTTTTGGTGCAAATGAATAGAAGAAAAAATAAATAAAATTTGATTTAGGATCAAGTTTTGAAGAATAGATTAAATATCATTTGATTTAGTGCAGAAGAATGAAATATTAAAGGAAATTTGTTTGAGCATCAATTTTTGAAATAAAGATTGTATATCGATTGTTTTGGTGCAAATTAATTAAAAAAAAATAAATGAAATTTGTTTTAAGTTCAAGTTTTGAAGAATAGATTAAATATCATTTATTTAAGTGCATAAGAATGTCATATTAAAGGAAATTTGTTTGAGGTCCAACCTTTGAAATATGGATTGTACATCAATTGTTTTGGTGCAAATTAATGGACGAAAAAATAAATGAAATTTGTGTTAAATTCAAGTTTCGAAGAATAGATTAAATATCATTTATTTAAGTGCATAAGAATGTAATATTAAAGGAAGTTTGTTTTCCACCCTTTGATATATAGATTGTACATCAATTGTTTTGGTGCAAATGAATAGAAGAAAAAATAAATAAAATTTGATTTAGGATCAAGTTTTGAAGAATAGATTAAATATCATTTGATTTAGTGCAGAAGATTGAAATATTAAAGGAAATTTGTTTGAGGACCAATTTTTGAAATAAAGATTGTATATCGATTGTCTTGGTGCAAATTAATTAAAAAAAAATAAATTAAATTTGTTTTAAGTTCAAGTTTTGAAGAATAGATTAAATATCATTTATTTAAGTGCATAAGAATGTCATATTAAAGGAAATTTGTTTGAGGTCCAACCTTTGAAATATGGATTGTACATCAATTGTTTTGGTGCAAATTAATAGACGAAAAAATAAATGAAATTTGTGTTAAATTCAAGTTTCGAAGAATAGATTAAATATCATTTATTTAAGTGCATAAGAATGTAATATTAAAGGAAGTTTGTTTTCCACCCTTTGATATATAGATTGTACATCAATTGTTTTGGTGCAAATGAATAGAAGAAAGAATAAATAAAATTTGATTTAGGATCAAGTTTTGAAGAATAGACTAAATATTATTTGATTTAGTGCAGAAGAATGAAATATTAAAGGAAATTTGTTTGAGGACCAATTTTTGAAATAAAGATTTTATATCGATTGTTTTGGTGCAAATTAATTAAAGAAAAAATAAATGAAATTTGTTTTAAGTTCAAGTTTTGAAGAATAGATTAAATATCATTTATTTAAGTGCAGAAGAATGTCATATTAAAGGAAGTTTGTTTGAGGTCCAACCTTTGAAATATGGATTGTACATCCATTGTTTTGGTGCAAATTAATAGAAGAAAAAATAAATAAAATTTGATTTAGGATCAAGTTTTGAAGAATAGATTAAATATTATTTGATTTAGTGCAGAAGAATGAAATATTAAAGGAAATTTGTTTGAGAATCAATTTTTGAAATAAAGATTTTATATCGATTTTTTGGTGCAAATTAATAAAAGAAAAAATAAATAAAATTTGATTTAAGTTCAAGTTTTGAAGAATAGATTAAATATCATTTATTTTAAGTGCATAAGAATGTAATATTAAAGGAAGTTTGTTTGATGTCCAACCTTTGAAATATGGATTGTACATCAATTGTTTTGGTGCAAATTAATAGAAGTGTAATGTATATGCGTTAGTTATATTGGCAATGCATACAATTAATATAATAATAAGTGGTTCTATATTTAAATGTGCAGTGTATACAAAAATACACTAATTGTTTCCAAGCGCTTTGCATTGTTTACAAACAAATGCACAATTCCACACAAGGAATTTGACACCACACATATCGGCGGCACTTTGCCTTCGATATAACCATATGCTTGCCAGGCATTGACCGCATATACAACAACATCAACAGTAAGCGTACTCGATACAAGTGGAATCGAATACGCTTACTTAGCAATAAATTATTAAATATTAAAGTACTTACGCTGCGTCGTTTTGTACATAAATATAAATAAATATTAATATAAATAATATTAAATACATATATAATCATAAAATATTTAGTAAATAAGAAAGTACATACGCTGCGTCGTTATGTACCTAGGTTAAGTTGAAAGTAAAAAACTAAATAAAAATCAGAACTAGAAGTGCACTCATAAGAAGCGCACTAGGTTCCAAACAGCAAAACTTACTTGAGTTTTTAATAAATACAAATTAATGTTAGCTAAAGGATCGCCAAACAATATCGGCGTCTAAATATCCTTTGCGAAACTAATCATCAGTAATTTGTATATTACATGGCGACCGTGACTTTGGTGCAGGACTAATGTGATTATTTTTTTTAAAAAAAAAATATATATGTATATATATATATAAAATATTAAAATAAAAATAACACATGTCCAATGCACCAGGGCCAAAAACGTCTCACAATCAAGGAATATCGTGCCAGACAACAACGGCACTTGGAAGCAAATATTACATGGCTCACAGCTATTCCTGTAGCACCAAAACCCAGGATGGGTGCAAGAATGGAAAAGCCAGCAACAACAACAACTATAGCAACAGCAATAATATAATCAACAAATAAATCAACAAGAATTACCACCATCGTGGGAAACTGCATGTAATTTCAATTTCAAATAGATGACATCATACAAGACAAGCGGAAACATAAGTATAATATTTTTTTATGATTTATAAATAATTGTAATGGAGCTTGCTCTACCAAATTAAAGAGCAAACCAATAGAGGCACAATATGGCGTTAAGCCGTTGCCAAAAACCATAGGTAGGGATAATGTAAATCTTATATTACTTTGATTATTGTTTTGATACATAAATAAAAAAAAAAAAAAAATCTTTAAAAATAATTAAATGTTTTAAATTAAAAAATTATATATATTTTGCATTAAAAATTATAACATATTATAAAGTATGTTTTGAATGAAAAAAAAACAAACAAATTTTTTTTAATTGTTTAATCACTACGGTATCTCTTTGATTTTTTTTTCCTTGTCTCTCTCTACTATTGATATTCTTTTTCACTGTTGTTTCTTATTTTACAATGGGGAGTCCTCAATCGAAAATAAATAAACCTGTAGCTAACGTAGTAAACGAAATAGAAGTTGATAGAAAAGAATCTTACGACCCAACAAAATTTTTCGTAATAATAATTATTTTGCTTAGTGCAAATTTTGCTCTTAAACTGTATAAGGCTCATCGTAGATCCCTTAAGAAAAATTTTGTAAAAACTGCAAATATCGCTACTGTATTAGAAAAAATATAAATAATTAGATAGGCAGCACGTAAATCAACATTTCTCAAAATATTCTAAAATTACTTAGATTCGTCAAAATGAAAACTTTTAACTGTTTTGTATGTGGCAAAAGCTGCAAAACTAAACAGAAATTAGACAATCATTTGAAGAAACATAATAAAATAATTAACTATGCGAATGAAATAGTTAGAAAAATTTTTCATTAAATCAATCAACAAAATTCTTTAACTCTTATGGATAAATGGTCTCAAATAGAAGAATTTCTAAGAACAGAAAAAGAAAATTTCAACAAGGCATACAAGTGTATAAACAAAAATACGTTTATCAGATCAGAAACTCTGAGAAAACACTTATTGACCTTAGTTAATAGTTTAGAGAATATCAGAACTATATATATTAACTATAGCCATAGATTAACAGAAAGCCATAAAAGAATTGTTAACTCTGTATTTTGGGAAACCAGAGACAGGTTAATCAACATTTATTCTAAATATAAAATAGAGGAAAAAATTCCACATAACTTAGATGAACCAATACAGCTAGATGTACATAGACTGTTTGTCACAGAAGATAGTGACATATTAATACCAATTGAAGAAGCAAATAGCGAAATTGAAAATTCATCAGAAATAGAAAAATACCACGTTACAAATATGGCACAATCAGCTGACCAATTTATTAGTACAGCGTCACGACTCATTCCTGAGTATGACGGAACTGCATCCAATCTACAAAGTTTCCTTGACGGTATCGAAATGGTCGATGAGTTAAAAGGAGAACATGAAAGATTGGCAGTTACTTTAATAAAAACTAAATTAAAAGGTACAGCTAGGCAAATAATAACCACCGAAAACTCGATATTAGCCATAATAAATGCTTTAAAAACAAATATCAAAGGAGAATCGGTTGCAGTCTTAACTGCTAAATTAATGAATCTCCAACAGAAGAACAAAACTGCCAACCAATATACTAAAGAAGTTGAGCAATTAACTAAAGCAATTCAAGGTGCTTACATTTCGGATGGGATACCACCAAAAATAGCTATACAATATTCAACTAAGGCATCTGTAGATGCAATGGTTAAAAATTGTACACTTCCTGAAGTCAGACTAATTATAAAGTCAGGCCAATTCAATAATTTGAACGATGCGGTACAAAAATTTGTAGAAAGCTGCACGGATGCTACTGGCCGGACAGACACTGTTCTATTTACACA